TATACACACCCACTGCACACAGCCCACAGAGCCGCAGCCCCCGTATACACACCCACTGCACACAGCCCACAGAACCGTAGCCCCTGTATACACACCCACTGCGTACAGCCCATCATAGCTGCGGCCACTGTGCACACGGTTCCACCACACACAACCATGCCTTGCACACCAGTCACCAGTTAGCACAAGAATCACTGAAGGAGTTTCCACAGTACATGGTTAGTGAAGTAACTCATTCCCTGACTTTTGAACTTGCCATCCATTTGAAGAATGTCACAGAGCTGAGAAAGTGGAAGTGGGGGAGGAAAGGTATTGACAGGATCTCTTTGGAGAGACCTACTGCAACCTGAGGGTCCCCTTCTTTTGCAATGCCACAGAACTACCTCCTTCACCACAAGCCTTGAGAGTGGGGCCTGGTGGTGAAACTGAGAGCAGGTCAAAAGGGTACAGGTGGGATGCCACTCAACTCCCATCCTGACGGGCAGGGACATGGGGAGAGGCTAACCTGGAGCTGCTGCAAGTCCTTCCCAGGATGACTGGGGTCCCACTACTGAGTGGCCTGCCCAAGCCCCAGGGCTGGAAGACAGCCCCCCTAGAGAAGAGGAGCAAACTCAGCTGAAGGTGGAGAGGACCAGCTTTTTAAAAATGTAATTACATTTCCTCTCGGGGATGCTGAGGTGGGGTGATTGCTTGAGCTCAGGAGTTGGAGAACAGCCTGAACAAGAGTGAGACTCTGTCTCCAAAAATAGCCCTGCATTGAGACCGGTGCCTGTAGTCCCAGCTACCAGGGAGGCTGAGGCAAGAGGATCGCTTGAGCTGACAGTTTGAGGCTGCTGTGAGCTATGACGCCACAGCACTCTACCATGGGCAACAGAGACTGTCTCAAAAAAAAAAAATTAAGTGCATTTAACAATTTTTATAGACAGATCCCCGCTATGTTGCCAGGCTGGTCTAGAACTTCTAGAACTTCTAGGCTCATGATTCTCCTGCCTTGGCCAAGGATTACAGGTGTGAGCCATTGCACCTGACCCAGCAGGACCTTTAAACATCCCACAAAGGTGCCCACCAGATAGGCAGTTTGGCCTGGCGTCTGTGGAGCCAACTCAGGAGAGGCACAGGCCCCAGTCAGGTGAGAACTCTCCTGCCTACCCTCCCAGCTCTCCCTGAACTTGTGAGGAGGTGAGCATGGGAGAAAGAAAGCACTCACCCTTCATCCCCACAGGGAGGCCCCAGTCAGCAGTCTCGTGTGAGGACAGGCAAGGCCCTACCCCACTGGTCCTACCCTTGAACAAAGATTTAAGTGGATGGTCTCTTGGTTAGACCCTTCACACTTCTTGGTCAAGACTGTGCTTACGACTCAAAGTGACCACAGGACTATTTCTTGGGAATGAGCAAAACAGGCTGGAGTTTTCATGTAGTCTCCATCCCTTGGCAGGAAGAACATGTCCTCACTGAGTACAGGTAAAAGGAACAGCATGTGACAGAAAAGTTCATTGAAATTAAACCCCAGTGTCACCAGCAGCCCGGTTACTGTCATGTTTCCTGTTAAGTTGTTCTCTGGTTTCTGTACCTGCTCGGGGCTCTACATGTGATCACAGAGAACAATTTTACCAAGCGGGGCTTTGGTTTTCCCATTTGCACAGTGAAAGTGTCAGACAATGTCTAAAGATCCTTTGAAAATTAACATTTTTATTTGCTTTTTTGAGACAGAGTCTCAAGCTGTTGCCCTCAATAAAGTACTCTGATGTCACAGGTCACAGCAACCCCAAACTCTTGGGCTTAAGCAATTCTCTTGCCTCAGCCTCTCGAGTAGCTGG